CCACTGACACCATGACCGGTCTGTTCAGGGACTGGACAGGAAAGGGTGGCACCAGTTAGAGCTTGTGACTCATCAGTCTGGCCAAAGCTACCTCGTGCTTAGCTCCTCCTCCAGAGCAGCTGCTTCTCCCAGAGCCACATCACACCAGCAGCAGACTTTGCTCACCTGACTGCCACTCCCTCATGGGAAGGGACCCTAACTGTTCATCTGTGCATTCCTGGCAGGTGCAGGCTGAATCAACTGGGGGCAAATTTTACTTTCTCCAGGAAGACACGGGCCAGGGACTGTGAGGGGTGCAACGACCAGAGGCCAGACACCTGGCAGGAGGAACATACTGACCGAACTGGGGAGACTGGGTCAAGGTCCAAATGAGCTTGAAGGAGGAAGAGAATGCTATAGGCTGCTGGTGGAGGGAAGCCTGCAGGTAGAGGAGGCACCTGGACTGTGCCTACAGGGAGTGTTAGGGCTATCTCTGTGCACAGTGAATAAAGAAGGGGCCTGTTGGGCATGAGCGGAGGCTCAAGAAAAGGAAAAGGGGCAGAACTCTGTAGATCACGTTGGACACCAGGAGCAGACCTCATTCAGCTGGAGCATGGATGGCTCCAGGAAGGGAGAAGAGGGAGAGAAGATTGGGGGTGCAGAAGAAAGGACCACCTGTCCCCCAAGGGCTTCCACTTCAGCGGGGAGACAGGACCGGCAGCCATGAGCATGCAGAATCAAACAAGCAGGCTCTGTCAAGGGCTTCACAAGGGTGGCAGACAGATCTTCTGAGAAGGGCCTCGAAACCAAATTATTCTTGATTGTTTTTTAATACAAAGTAAATGGAAGATGTTCCCCCCAAACAAATCAAGATGGCGGTGGGGCACCCATGAAAAGTAGGTATCTACCGGGGTGCCTGGGTGGCGCAGTGGGTTAAGCGTCTCACTCACAGTTTCGCCTCAGGTCGTGATGTCAGGGTCGTGAGACTGAGCCCCGAGTCAGGCGGCGCGCTCAGCACGGAGTCTACTGGAGTTTCTCTCGCCCCCTCCCTCTGCCTCTCCCCCCACCCCATGCTCACTCTTGCTCTCTCTCTCTCTCTCAAATAAATAAATCTTAAAAATAAAATAGGGGCTGGCAGAAGTCACAAGGGGGCCGCTGCAGGGCCTGGGGAACAGGGTGGGAGAGCAGACTTGCCACTCCAGTCCACGGTGACTGATGTTGGCCCCGAAAAGGAAGTTTTCTGACCAACTCGCGTAGCAACACCACTGCCCCGGGCTGCTTCCACGCTAAGCAGACCCAGGGGACAGTGGTACAAGGCTTCGCCGGGGGCTGCGGCTCCTAGTCAACCCAGGGCTAACGGAGGCCAGGAGATGCTGAAGCCCCCCATCTAACCAAGGCCCAGGTAGGCCCCCTTGTGGGCCACCCTCAGGGACAGAAGGACAGTGCCCAGATGCATCGTCCCTCCTGGCTGGCCGCTGGGTTCTGCAGGAACTGCCGGGAACCTCTCCTCTGTCGGGGCTCCTGCACCACCCGTACCCTCCTTGTCTGCGTGGACCCGTCTCACTGGTAACTGTAATCTGCTCCCCGGGTGGGCTCCTGTGTCACAGGTAGGACACAAGCGTGAAAGAGACAACCACCCGGCCATCAATCTAAGCTCTGCTACTTACAGGCTGCACGATCTTGGACAAGCCTCAGTTTCTTTACCCATACAGTGGGAATAACAACTGCGTCCCACCTCATAGAGTAGAGATGAGGACGAAACCCCTTACGGAAGCTGGAGGGTCGTGGAAGCCCCACACACAGACGCAGGTACCGTTTCTGCATTCCAGACGAGAGAAACTCAAGACTGCTGCAAGTGCCCCTTCTCTCAAGTGCCTCCGTTGGTGCTTAGGGCCCTGCCTGGGAATCAGAAAGCATCTTCTGGTCTAATCCACGTCCTCCCGACTTCAGAGGAAGGCCTAGTCCTTGTGAGTGATGCCTCAGAAGGACACGGGTCCTTCTGCCATGAAGGGGAAAGTGGGTGAGTTGCGTGTATTTTTATGTCTTTTGGGCCCCGAGCCTGCTCCTGACTCCCTTAACAAACAGGAGCTCCACGCTGGAGACACCCATCCACGTGCCCCACTGAGCCTCTGGGCCTGGCCTGCTCAGGCTCCCCCATGACACATGGCCCCATCCTCCCTCCTCCAGCCAGGTGTGCCCAGAAAACCCTCTGCCCCACTGGATGGTACCAAGGTGGAGCCATGAAGCAGAACCCAGCACAAAATGGTAAAGGAGCCGTGGTGTAATGGCTTGGCCCAGCAGGCTCCTGGAGGCGGCCGCCTGGAGATGGACAGAGCCTGAAGCTGCGAGGCTGCCTCCAGTGGAGCATTCTAGTTCAAACACAAGCCGACTGCTGTCCTTGGTTAAGTCGCTCCACTTCCATCAGCCTCGGCTTCCACGTCTGTAACAGGAAAGATTGGCCTAGACTGCTTCTATGAGTGCCCTCAGTCCAGGATTCTGAGCAGCCTTCCCAGGGGGTATCTACGAGTTCTGGCTGCCCAGGTTCAAATCCCAGCTCTGCCATTTCCAGTGAAATCCATGAGTCCCTTCACCTCGTCAACCGTAACTCCTTGTCTGTAACAAGGGAATGAAAAGAACACCTACTCAGGGTTACTGGCTGGATTCAGTGAGGACAGGGCATACCTGGCATGGAGTGAGGGATTATTCGTAACTATTATTATTCTGTGAATTCTGCGGCCTCCTGCCACCACCATCCTCTCGATGGACTGAATGTTTGCGTCTCCCCCCCAAGCTCACACGTCATACGAAGCCCTAACCCCCAATGTGACGGTGTCTGGAGGTAGTGCCTTCCGGAGGTAATCAGGGTTAGATGAGGTCATGAGGGTGAAGGGATTAGTGGCTTTATAAGAAGAGGACAGAGAGAGATGGAGGAAGGGCCATGTGAGGGCACAGCGAGAAGGTGGCCATGTGCAGCCCACGCAGAGAGCCCTCCCTGAACCTGCTGGGACCTTGATCTTGGACTTCCCAGCCTCCAGAACTCTGAGAAATAAATCTCCGCTCTTGCAGCCAGCCTGTCTGTAGTATTTTGTTATGGCAGCCCAGCAGATTAAGACAACCCCATGACCCGCCATCCCCATCCCCTACTCTCTGCATGGGAAAACCCACTAGGTCCCCCCAAACCCAGGAAAATCAACATCATGCACACCCTGGAGGCCACATGCACGATCGCAAGCACACACAGGGTCAGGTAAAACTCAGCATGCCAAGCGGCAGGGCGCAGTCACTGCAACAGGACAGGGAGGACAAGCAGAGAGGAGGCAGGCAAGTGGGGGGCCACGAGCAGTCAGTGAGAGGCGGGGAGCTAGCACAGGCCATGACCAAGCAGCCCACACCGGTGGCTCTTGGCTCCTTACCTCCCCTGCAGGACCTCTGACCACCAGGACTGTGTTCCCCCAAGAAGCTGGAGGCGTGCTGGAAAGAGTAGAGAGCAGGAAACAGGGAGCAGTAGGTAGAGCCAAGTCTACAGGAAAAAGTGCTGGAAAGGGCCCCACAGAAGGGTGTTAGGTTTGGGGAGTCCATGGCAGAGTGGTTTTTCAAGAGGCCCAAAAGACCCAAATGCTAAATGAAGCACAGCCCCATGACTGGCCTATGCTGGGGCACAGAAAAAGGGATGAGAGAGCAAAGGGAGAAGAACCCACATACTGGATCATCCCACATGGCCACCTGCCCTCCCACATGCTGGTGCTGCGTCTGTCCAGGGTGACAATCTCGGCAGACTTCCTGGGATGATGTGAACAGTCTCTCCAAAGGGAATGGGACCCAGGGGTGGACACACAGCCCTCAAGCAAGAGCCAGGGTCAAAGGAGGCCGTGCCCTGCACAGATGTCAGTCAATCCCCTGGGATCCTAAGGAGACAGAGGGGAGGTTCCAATCCTGGTTCCACCCCAAATCTCTGGGCAACTCTGGACAAGGTATGTATCCTCTCTAGGCCTCAGTTTCCCCACGTGTAAGATGGAGAGAATGTCCCTACCTATAACAGAGAAGGTGACAAACACTCTACCATCTCAGACACCCAATCCCCCTATGGCCGTAAGCATGTCTAGACTTTTCTCTGGGGACTGGGTGGTGCTGAAATAAGGAAATGACCAAACATCTAAGACTCCTGACAACAATCTGGGCAGAGGGGCTCCTGGGACACCTTACTGCCACCAAGGGCCAGCCCTTAGGGCATCGGTCTGGGGAAGGAGGAGCCTGAAGCACAAGGTCTGGGGTCAGGGTTTTACTAACATGTAACCCCTTCGGGGTCAGTTCAATGGCACTAAATAGTGTCCCAAGTGAGCCACCACCCACAGCCCCGTTATGAAATTTCTGCATCACCAACCCTGTGTGCCTCGGGCCTCACCAGAACACCCCTCACTCTGGGAACTGGTTCTGACCTGCCCAGCCCTGGAAGCCACCCACAGGTGCCCACAAATACCTGAGGAGGGACAGCCTGCTCTATACCATCAAGCACCCGACAGGCAGCCAATGTCAGTCACCGGCACCAGCCTGGACAATGGGATGGCCCACTGTTTAAGTCTTTCTCAACCTTGTGACCCAGCCTCTTGGTTGTGGTAACCCTGTGAGGGCAGGTATTACAACTCTGTTTCACACATAAGGCAACTGAGGCCAGGAAAGGCAAAGCAGTAACTTGCCCAAGGATGTGCAGTTGGGTGACTGGTTCTCGACAGAGCCAAGGTGAGAACCTGAGTCCTCTGTCATCTGGCCTGGTGGCTGCCGTCGGCCGGCGTGCACTGGCGTGCCTGGTCGCCGCTGGGTCCACCCGGTGGGTCAGCGCCCGAGTGCTACTAGGGGTTACGGGTCCTGGACACCAGCCCTGCAGGCCAACTGCCAACATGGCGTCTACGCCCCTGCGGCTGCTACCTGCTCCTGGCACAGGGGGTCAGAGTGCCAGGAGCTCAACGTGGTGGTGGGGAGCCAGGGCTGGCGCTCTCCGGGGCCCCAGCCGGGCCCACTCCTACCTTTGATGACAAAGGCCTCTGCCAGCAGCCGCATCTGATACAGTGGCTTGTCGTCCATGGACATGTCATCAATCCCGGCCCGCGCATACATGCTGATGGCATCTCGGTACGAGCCCTCCACGTAGTGCAGCTTGCCCTGGATCAGCATGGCCTCACACAGGTACTGTGGCTGCAAGGACAACAAACCCATTAGCAGGCTCCTGCCTGGAAGCCCCTGCCCCACCCCCACCCCATAACCTGGGAGGAACACCTGCCTCCTCCCATGGAGCCATGCCGACTTGCCAGAGCCCCTCCTCCGGGAAGCCCTCCCTGGCCCTCAAGCACGTGTGACATCTCCCTGCTCTCCACACCTGCAGTCTGTGGCCTACACTACGGCTCTCACTGAACTTCTTATGTGAGTGCCTAATCGGTGTGTGTGTGTCTTATGTCCCCAACCAGACTCCAGGCAGCTTGCAGACTGGGCTCGGTGTTCTCTCTCCTGAAGCCCCAGAGGCGTCGGCCCCAGTCTGGTGCTCAGGAACTCAGGCATTGGTTCTCAACACGAGTCGGGGGTCAGGGACCCAGCCAAATGTTGTGGGGCCTGAAGCTCACATAACTGGGGGTTTCTCTTTACGTGCATAGCTGTACAAATATACAGTGAGGTGAAAGGCCGTGGAAAGAGTCCATGCAGTAAGGGGCCAGCAGCTGAAGCCCCAGCCGCAACAGCAGGACCTGTGTGGGGAGAATGGCCCCATCAGCAGAGGGACAGGATGGCAGGAGAGCCAAGGCCTGCTGGGCCACTGTCCTCATCTCAAGTGCAGAATTAAGTGCCTGAATTCAAACCTGTTTTCTTCCCTCTCTTTCTCCACTGCCGCTTATGTCCCAATCTTCACCCCATACAAAGACTCTTGGGGCCTCCCTTGGGCCCTGTCCCAAAGTCCTGCCCCTGGACATGCATCCAGCCTTGCTCCAAGATCTCCCACTTGCCGTGACCACTTCTCTAGCCCTCTGCCTCTATCTCTGTGCTCAGCTGGCCCATCGCCCCTTTGGGCTGGGCTCTGGGCAGGGCCCCCATCACCCACCAGCAGTTCTGTCCACAAAGCTTCTTGGAGATGCAGGCTGGCCCCCAACCCAAGCCTCTGTCACCAGTAGGAAGGTGCCACCCCTTTTTCCCTTTGGGGATATTGGAGTTTGGGGGACCTGTAGTCCCAGGGAAAGCCTCCACTACTCCCAACTATCTACTGCCCTCTCAGAAGCCAACCAAGAGATATGGAACACACCAAAGCCAAATTCTCCTTTGCACTGGTGTTTTAGTCATTGTAAATATACATTTTTCCCTTGCCTTTGCTCACATAGCTCCCTGTCTGGAACAGTCTCCCCCTTCCCCTAGGTCTATCCAGATCCTCTTCCATCCTTTGGGAGCTTGCTCAGGCCCACCACTTCCTAGAAGCCTCCCTGAGTACCAGGGGACTCCTTCTGCTGCTGAACTCCTATAATGCATCTGCCACGTGGACCCACTCAGCCTCTGTAGGCCTGACCTGCTCCGACTATTGGTTAACTCTCCAAGGCTGAATTTTTCAAGTGCATTTGCTAGTGTCCCCAAATAGACCACCTACTCCCTCCACCAGGGCCACAAATTATGCATTCCCAGAACCTTGTGGCCCATGGTCTTCCGTAGCTGGGCAAAGATTCTGCTGTTCCCCATATTGGTTTCAAGCCACAGGCCCATTTTCTCACTGCTCGGGCTCATTTTCACCATTGGTGAGGGCGAGACAGTGATACCCACCCCTCACCTCCCATCACAGCAATGCCAAGAGCATCAGAGTAATGCAAGTCCAGAAAAGAGCTTTGAACTTTTCTTTAGAAAGGAGTTAGATAAATACAGGGCATGAGTCATTGACATTATTATCCTGCCCCACTGTAAATGTGGAGAAGGGCAGCTGAGCTCAGAAGGACACACTTCAGGGTGTGATGACAGGGTGTAGCTCGTGGTGGTTCCTGCTGGACCAATGGCAGCTCACAACAGAGCTTCCACCAAGCTGGGGAAAAATTAAGGACAATGTGAGTGCTTCATATGCTAAATTTACACTACTTAAAGAGCTTCCCTGAATGGGTCCACTTGGCAGACGCATTATAGGAGTTCAGCAGCAGCAGGAGTCCCTGGTACTCAGG